CCACCATAGTGGTCAAGGATGGGATGGGGCCGCCCGTGGGGATCTGGCTAACGCAAAGACCGAGCTTTTTTTTTTTTTTTTTTTTTTTTTTGTAAGACCGAGCATTTTGCCAGTAGCTAGCTGCGCCTCCCTCTCTCATCGCCTCCCTTTCTCATCGTCCCCCACCCCTCATCGAGTAGCAGCAGAAGCTATGGCCAACACTCTCCCACACACCACACACCACACACCACACACAACCCACTCCTGCTCGCAAGGATCTTCCTCTTTCTTTTTTTGGGGGGGTAACTTGTGTAGAGAGTCACCCCCCAAAAAAAAGAACGAGTTATAAATTCACTATGGGGCAAGATACAGTTCGCAAATGCAATATTCGGGCACCCTACCTGGCCAGCAAGCTGGGTTGTATACATTGCAAAAACTGCAATTCGAAACTGTATCTTGGCCCATAGTAGCGCAATTATAACTCTTTTTTGGGACTCCCGTGTAGTTTACCCTTCTCGATTTAAAATTTTAAACTACGCTAATTAAAATAGTAAAAAATTTTAAAAAAATGATTTCAGAACCTGCGTGAGACCACTCCTCGGGCGGCGACGTCCCACTAGCAAGAAGGATTGGATAGAGGGCCTGAATCTGATCTGGACGCGTGTTACGTAGAGATGCAGAAAAGCAGATCAATCGCCATTTTCTGCACCTCACCGCACTCACGTCCAGGTTCATGCGTTAAATGCAATCCACGCTGTATTCGGGTGAAGAAGGTAGTCTCGTTTTTTCTATTGATGTCATCACAGTTCGAACTCCGATGAAATCAGTAGAGAAAACGAGACTACCTTCTTCACCCGAATACAACGTCCGGTCATTGTAGCTGTATTTGGCGTATCTTGCCGTCTAAATACAGCCATAATGACCGTACGTTGTATTCGGGGGGAAGAAAATAGTGATAGGGGCTAAGCACTTTTTCTGTTTTCAACACCAAATTGCGGACAGTTACATATGTGGACCTGTTATCCTCTCTTGGGCTGGGTACTACAGTCTTCACCCGAATAGAACGCCCGGTCATTATAGCTGCATCTGGTCTGAAAGGTGCCCCAAATACAGCTATAACGACGGTGCGTTCTATTCGGGTGATGACGGTAGGCAGCAGGTTATTTGCTCCCCTTGTCGTTCCACCTCCTCTTATCTCCATCTCCCATCTGTCTCCATCTCCCATCTCCCACCTCTCTCTCTCCATCTCCCATCTCCCCATCTCCCCCCCTCCCATTTCTACCATCTCCCATCTCTCCCACTCTCCACCTCTCCATCTCCCATTTCTCCATCTCTCATCTCTCTCCATCTCTCATCTCTCTCCATCTCTCCCTCTCTCTCCATCTCCTTTCTCCCTTCTTCCTTCTTGCTTCTCCGTTCTCCATTTCGTCCCATTATTTCCTCTGTCTGTAACGCTTTCTGTTTGCCTTTTCTATTTTTTTGTTTTTTTGTTTTTTTGTTTTTTTGTTTTTTTGTTTTTTTGTTTTTTTTTTTCTCGATGTGCTTCAGCTCGATCGGACGATTGGTCTGCCGAAGAATCCATCCGACGTCGGAAGCTTGAGAGCGGGCGGCAGAAGTTTCTGCGCAAGTGTCGGTGCGCCGCTCGAGAGCGGGACTCCCGTGCGTTTTATTCCGCGGCCATGTTCTCCATGCCTGCTGGCCGTCTCTCCACGGCCACTCCATCGCTTCCCCTCGACTTTGCCATAGGCGACCGGATGATCACCATCGTGACCACGGCCTGCTTGCCTTGGCTGACTGTAAGTGGGGTCGTTTTTTTTTTGTTTTTTTTTTTTCTGGTTGGGGGGACTGTAAGTGGACTCTTTTTTTTTTTTTTTGTGGGGGGGGGGGGGGGGGGGGGGGGGGGGTTACTGAAATAGCATTTTATTTATTTATTTATATATTATACTAAAGCTATCAATCAGCTAAAAAAAAAAGAAAAAAAAAAAACAGTCAGAAAAAGTCAGAGACCAGCGAGCTTAGCTCAGTTGGCACACCCATAAACTGTTGAAATACAGGGCCTCGCTGCACTACTCTCGAAATGTGCAAAACGAGAGTGAATCTTCAGCTAGAATATGGAAAGATGCACGGCCATGATTTTTGTCTTTTATGCATGTCGAGAGCAGTGCAGCGAGCACCACAGACCTGTGTTCGAATCCAGATGATGGCATTTGAGCCGTAACACCAGCTATATCTGAATTGCCTGGGGCCCGTCAGCTCAATGATGATATCTCAAGGCCGACGCCCTTCAAAAAGTAAAAATAAAAGTAAATAAGTAAATAAATAAATATATAAACTGTCGAAATGCAGACCTTTTTCTAAAATAAATAAATAATTAATAATAATAATAATAATAATAATAATAATAATAATAATAATAATAAATATTAAAAATAAAGGGATTTTTTTTTTTTTGAAATGCAGACCTAAGTTCTTTTTATTTAGAGTTCGAATCCAGATGGGACCAGATGATGAACGAATTTATTGAATTACCCAGGGTCGTGTCAGCTTCACAATGATATGTCCAGGCTGTCGCCCTTTGTAAAAAAACAAAAAAAAAAAAACAACAGAAAAAGTCAGTTAATGTCAGAGAAACATGCACGCTGCGATGTTGTAGCCGTTGCCGAGATGTCAGCAGGTTGAATGGGGAACAGCAAAAAAAAAAAAAAAAAAAAA